GTCCTACAGGGACCTAACAGCCTGTATCAACGGGCCTGGTACCCCATACTCCCAAAGTACCCCCCCACAGGAGTCCCCGAGGGACACGATCCAACACCTTCTTCAAGTCCACAAAACTCATGTAGACTGGTTGAACTCCCACCTCCAGGACCCTGCTGAGGGTGTAGAGCTGGTCCACTGGTCCACGACCAGAAACCACACTGCTGTTCCTGAATCTGAGATTCATTCATGTTTACAGATGTTTCTGTGTTTACAGATGTTTCTGTGTTTACAGATGTTTCTGTGTTTACAGATGTTTCTGTGTTTACAGATGTTTCTGTGTTTACAGATGTTTCTGTGTTTTCAGATGTTTCTGTGTTTACAGATGTCTCTGTACACATTATATACTTTATAACAGCTAATTACTGTTTACAGTGTAATTAGTTACTAACGTGTTAGAATACGTCACAAAGTCATGATGTTTTTCACAAAATAGATCCAAAATCTGAATATTTTGTTAGATTTATTTAAAGTTTATTTTCTGTATTTTCACATACGAAGCTTCATATTTATTCTAAGAGGAGTCATGTGGTGAAACTGAACTCTGAGCCGGTTTGACCTCGTTTTAATGAGCAGAAAATCCTGAGGAACAGGAGCAGTGTGGATAAGGCAGAGAGGAAGTCAGGTTTGGACTGGATGGAGGAGCAGAGTGAGAAAAACCACCGGCATCATTTTCTCCAGAAGTGCTGACAGTTTCCAAGCAGAAAATGTTCTTAGAAACCCGGACAATTCCCTGCACTCACCTATTTAGTCTCCCCTGCTTCAGCCTCAATGGCTCTTTTCTACAAGTGTGGAAAGAGAGTTTAGGAAGTGGGCCAAAGTCGTCCCCCCTGCATGTCTCTGAGGGAGACGGATGGGGAGGTTCTCTGGGGATGAAGAGTAGTGATGATGTGACTGAAAGAAGCTGAAGTAATTAAAGACGGGGAGGAGMTGCAGGAAGCTGCTCCACCTCTTTCCTCTGTTTGAACACGTCTGCTGTCAGAAGGGTGGATTTCTGAGGATTCAGTCTGACGAATCAATCAGCCACAAGAGGGCGCCACTGAAGAAACCGATTCTGTGAGATGGAGAGGAGGAAGTTCCTGTCTCTGCAGTTTCAGGCTCCTCCCACCAGGACTCAGATACCCAAGGCCCTGTCACACGAGACAACTTATAACTTATGAACATTTTAAAGATGTCTRTATTGAAGATGGAATTGAAAAAATCAACARGAAGCTTCTTTTTGGCATGTACATAATGTAATTTGAACWAATTGATCAAATATATGACTTTTATAAGCAATTTACACATGAAAAATGTTTCATAATTTGGCATAAGTTGTCTATGTGACAGGACCTTTAGCACCAAAACGTAAAACCACACTGAAAAAAGAACTTGTAAAATTTACTTGAAAAAAATCCTCGTAACAATTTGCACTAATGTTAGTTAAATTTAAATGCTACAAATTCAAGTAATTTTTACTCATCATTATCTAGTAAAAGTTA